CGACACACGGAGCCCCGGTCGACCTTGGTCTCGTCGCTTATATGAGTATTAACACACACGCTTGTACGCATCATCCGGGCCTCTGTCCATGGGCGTGAATTCTTCACGTGTACGTTTAAAGTCAACCATACGAATTGTCTATGTGTTATCTGTGTTTGCCAGGCTTGCATTTTATGTATCATCCTGTCGAACTTGTCTTATAGTGAACGTCCTAGCATTTTACACGAACGCTGACCTTATTGTGCGCCTCTTACGTGAACGACTATTGCGTTCTTTTTTCTTACCGTTCCTTTCTGTCTCACACATATATATATATATATATGTATACACACACATATGTATATATACACACATATACATATATATGTATATATGTGTATATATGTCTATATGTGTGTGTGTGAGTGTGTGTATATATATATATATATATATGATACGGACACGAAATATAATAAACTCAACAGGTGTACGTGTGTGCGCTTTCGGTTCTATCGACGGATCGGCAAGTATCGCTAATCGGTACCGTACAGTTCAAGAAGAAGGACCCCGAAGGACCGTCCCTCCCCTTGTCCTTTGTCTGCGTCTGTTATCACCCGTCTAAAATGTGCCAATGACCCGACACCAACGCCCTGTGTCTGTCTTTATCCGATATCCGATGAAATCGAAAACCCACCGACATGATCGGACCATGCAACCCGTAACCCTACCGATCCCCGTTCTACCACATCCATCTCTCTCTCTACCACGATATCCCCATTCTACTAGTAACGACGCTTCTTTCTGGCGCGGAATACATGCATTAAAGACGAGAAAACGTTTATTCTTGTGCGTTAGATCATTGTCACTGAAAAATTTGCGATTCGTCGTACGTCTTGATGCTTTTCTGAAAGCAACTCCCGGCGCTCGCGCGAAGAACGATAGAAAAGGTGGCGAAGGGAGAAAGAGAATAGACAAATAAATTGAGAAAAAGATTCATGAGAGGACAAAGAAAGAGACAGAGAGAAAGAGAGAGAGTGATATCGTCGACGAACATTCGCTCATAAATTCGGTAAGAAAAGAAAGAAAAAAGAAAGAAGAAGAAGTAACGCAAAGCCGGATTAATAATTTCGACGTCGTTAGGTGTACGCGTGTACGTTCTCTTCTTTTGTTTGCCGTTATCTGCATATAGGTTGACGATGACTGCCTTTAGAGATCTCGGTGCATTCGAGGATCATCCATTTTTCTGTTTCTGTTTACCATTCACTATGGGTTTGGACGTACAGTAGTGACAACTGTGCCTGCCACCTTGCTGTGCTCGCACTTGGAGGATCAGCGCCCGCCCTGTCTCCACCCTCCTCTTTCGTTTCCGGCAATGTTTGATCCTCACGTCACTCGGAACAGCGGCATGGTCAGCGATCGAAATCGATGGCGAAGAGAATCACGATTTTATACGAATCGTGACTTTTTACTTTTCGATTCTTCGCTTACGTGAAAGTGAAACGCAAAAAGTGTGATATTACTTCTCGAGATGATCGATGAAAATTGTGTATTTACTTTACGCCTAACGTAAACACGTTGGATGAAACGTTGTCGGGCGAAACAATAACGCAAATCTCTTAGTTTTGCAAATTGAAGTGCCCCTCGTGCGATACTCAGCTACTTCGTTCCAGTAAGTTGTACAACTTTTTGAAAACGAGAACATACAATTTTGTATTGTGTCAAAATGATTATACATAAAAAATTTGAGGCCTATCGTTATGTCTGATTATTGCTGACTTATACCACTAGTCCGTTCAAAATCGAATAAAGCCATTCTTATTTTACAAACATCTAAATATTTCAAAAACATCTAAACATTTTGAAAACTTACAATAACGCATGTAAATATAAATAGAATTCTTATTGATTTTCAGTTATATAAATAACCAAAAAGATTGATCTGTTATCAATATGAACGAAGATATCGATATTGTGCTTTAACAGTCACCCAATTTTTCATGTAAAATCAATAAAAACGTGGTCTTACTCGGCAAACTTTCATTCAACGACAAAAATCAAATTCAAGTTTTCCAATTTCGATCCACAAGTATGGCACGGCCATGAAATCTTACGAACTCGATAATCACGACAACCGGGAATTGTCGATGGCCGTCTGTGTTCAACGTGTGATGCGATCATCGATGTCATTCGCAGCGTTAAGACGCGCAATCCTCCAAGAACGAATATGCCTCCATACGCAATCCCTTAGAGACCGATAAACATATATGTATATATATGTTATACATACACACATACACATATATACACATACACATATATATGTACACACTTACATATCCAATGCATAAACGCCCGAGCGAAAAGGAACGTATATATATTTATATACTATATAAAATTATATATTATATAAATTATATACTATATATAATTATATATTATATAAAAAATTATATATAATTATACATATAACATCCATACATAAAGTTTGTCTCTAGTCACAAATATAATCATATATAATTATAATTATCCACATGAAAAAGAAGTGCTGTTAAGTGGAAGAGAAAGAAAAAATAGTTTTATTCAGTTAAACGTTGACATCGCGGACTGCGATAAACAAAAACAATTGTTACAATTGTATTTGCAGCATTTCTTTCCTCGTGGACACATATAATTACGCATGATTACGATCATACAGAGACAAAATTCATGTGTAACTGTATGTAATCGTTTTTTTCTCGGGCGGGTATATAGTTTGTTACATCGCGCGAATTATCGTGCGTTACACGCGCCGCCTCATATTAGTGCCTGACCGAACCTAAAACGCGGTGTGAAAAGCTACATACGTACATATATATTCGACGTGTCGCGCATATTCTATATACATTATATATATATATATATATACATATATATATGTATGTATAATATATATATATATATATATATATATATATATATTACGTATGTACATCGATCTCATTATACTCAGCACTACACAAATCGCTTAAAATGTATATCGATCTCGTTATATTCAGCACTACACATAATCGCTTAAAATATTCAGCTTCAAACGTTCCGATTCTCTCTCTCTCTCTTTCTCTCTCGCCACAAGTATCCAGCTATCCCCGCCCCTTCAGAGTTCATATATTACGCCTGTTATTATATTACATATTATATATCTCACACGCCTACTACGTATCTATATAACACGACTGCATGTCTTTTATTCTCACGAGATAAAATTCCTCCAGCTCCATACGAATCAACCCCCTTCCCCTCCCGCTATACCTGTCCTCGTCCATCTGCCACGTGACGATTATGTCTCTTCTCCACATTTTCTCTTTTCTTTTTTTTTTATGGTCTCTGAAAATCCTGAAAGTCAGTGCCGAGAAGAATGTTCCCGCCTCGCTGCCATCGCCACTATCAAATGCTGATTTTCGCGAGCACAATGCATCGTCGACGCACTGCGCGTGTTTCGCTGCCCTCGCCGCTCCCGCCCTCGTTCCGTCACCCTTCGCCTACGCGGCATTGTTCTATTTGTAAAATCAATTTGTATCGCTCCTCGATTCAGCCAGAGGCATTAGCTTCCCTTGTACGTGGCAACGCGGCCGTCGAATGTCGGCCGAATGGAGTTGCGGATTGTATTGGCAGCGAAGTGAGAATATTGGATCGCATTGAACCGTTGACCGCGGAAGCTGATTTAACAGGCGAAATCGATTGCTCGCGTCCGCGTCCGCGTCCACGCCCGCGCCCGCGCCTCAGTCCACGTAAAGACACTCGGTCGTACATCGGCCGAGAAGTATGATCGTATTATCCGTTAATTAGACGGGCATTAAGTGGATATTAACGATGCCCCGTTAATCGCGACGAGATCGTAGGAAATTGAATTATCAGTCGATTTGACATATGGATTTCGAATTGTTCCTTCGTTTCGAGACGGTGTATAAAAAATTACGAGATTGAGAAAGAAACGTAGCAACTACGCAAACGCATAAGTGTTGACTCAAGAGAGTCTATCTATCGCAATTAAATTGCAATTAAAAATTAAATATTCCTAGCTAGTAGCTAAATGTAAAAGTAAGAGGTTTAAATAGAAGTTTGCTGTAAGTTAATAATAGAATATCAACGATCGAAATTAACAGATCATGTGTATTAATTTAACACATTCGCTACCAGCGACACTTATGTATGACGGCAAAAATTGTTTCTCTACGTCCACGTTAACTAAGTCCTTCTTGCAAAATTACGTAGAAAAACAGCACGAGATTAATCTATAGAGAAACCAAATAAATTCTGCCCGCAAAAATATCATTTTACTGGTAAAAAAGTGATCACTCAATTTATTTTTCTTTTTTCAAACAATGGCTATCTTCCACAAAAAATATTTTTCCGATAATTGCCTTAAAGTATACTTATCGTAAATTTTAAAAAACTTCATTATCATATACTCAAGGACATGATAAGATCTTCCAGGTTTTACAGCGCATGGGCTTTACCAATATATACCAAAATACCAAAAATTTCACGAAAATATGATAATAATAATAAAAATAAAAAATCATATACTCAAAAAAAGAATTTACTCCCTTCACAAGAATATTATAAAATTTTATCTAGAAAAGATTGATTCAACTTTATTTAGTAAGCAAGTCGAATTTCTGTTCTTTTACTTTATTATTTTTTACTGAAACCAACTGACTAGAACTCAGAATGTATTTTGAGTTAATTTAACGTTGGTGACGAATTCACGATAGATTTGCAGATATGTAAAAATATAAACTGCTCAAATACTTAAAACAAGTAACATTTACTTAAATGCAATGTATATTTTTTTGTGTGTGGTAGCGAACGTGTTAAGATACGGTTTCCGAAATACAATGTTACCGAAATCCATTATTCTTTTTTCTTTTTTCCGTAACTGCACGCGAAATTTCGTTTTAGGGCGCGCGCGCTTGCGTTGGTCAAGATTATATTCCGAACGTCGAAAATTGTAATTGTGAAAATATTTCGTTTTAAATCAGCATCAGCAGATTAATGGGTCGACGAAACGATCCCGCTTCAGTGGACTGCGATATATCTATAATTTGTAACAGTCGAGTTGCGGTGATGCGAGGCCAAGTTGTTACCGAACAAGGACTCGGAATAGTAGGCATCCGGGTGTCCGTGGACAGAGATTCGCGCTTTGGATTCACCTTGACCAGAGCCGACGGATGGTAAGGATTAACAATTCATTCATATTTTATTCGACTAAGCAGCGCACTTAAAGGAATGTCGGATGGTAGATGGTGAACTCAAAAAATGTATATTATAAAGATATTATTGTTATAAAAATAACGTGATCGTCACTAACACGATCACTATCTTTTTCATATTTCTTGTACACGAAGAAAAATAATTTGCTGGCCCAGCAAATTTTCTACTGGTCTAGCAAAATCTTTTCGTTATTATATGGACAGCAAAAATATTTGCTAAGAGTACTAATCACTATTTGTTGGATATAATTTGCTGAATCTACAAATTATTTTGTTATAAGAACCATGATGGATTTATATAAGTTGCAGTTTTGCTCCGATAGCAAATAAATTTACTAAGGATACATTATTTTGCATCGATAGTAAATTAACGTGATTCTTAGAACAAATACACTCAACAAATTTTGTTTATTCTGGCAACGAAACTACTTATGCTTTGATAACGAATAATTTGTAAAATAAATTAGGTCAACTAAATTTTTTTGCTGTCAGTATGAATATACAATAGCAACGACGATTTTGCTAAAAGAGCAAAATTATTTTTCTCCGTGTATATATAAATCTTATATGAATATGTGCTGTTTTGTTTTACCATGTGTGTGTGTGCGCCAACAGAAAATATAATTACATATATCTAGAAATCTTTCTATAAACTTTTCATATACTTTTAAGTTTCTACATTCAATTGTAAAGATACAGAAATGTTTCTTGAAATTTTCATTAACAAAACAAACACATGTGCGGTACATATAAATTGCAGGACTTTTGCATCAAGTATATATTCACACCAAATGATAGCTCGAGATGTCAATTTTGAAATTTTTTTCGTTTTGGTCGCATATTGAGCAATATTTTAATTCATTATTGTATGTATTTTCATTGTGTAAAAGCATTTGTAATTGTGTGCAACGTAAGCTTTCGTAAACGTCATATAACGTAAACTTTGTACAAAAAAATCAGTGTTTTATCAGTAGTTTTTCAGTATGGCGTTCCCTTAATTCTTATCAATTGCCATGCATCTTAAATTAATAATAAGAAAATGAGATATAACAGAGTTCATTGCTCCTTTATTCAAGATGCTACTAGAGTTTTAAACAGAGATTTGAATACTTATACACGTAAATTATAATATTCTACATCTATGTGTAGACAAAACATAAATTATGTACGGGATGTTATCTATATAAATAATGAGTAATCTACAGGGTATCTGGCGCGACACACCAACACGCATGTACATGTAGATTACATGTAAATTGAATACAAAATTCGTCTACCACTTGACGACATAATGACAATATAAAATTTTGAGTTATTAATTAAAGAAGATTGACGAATGCATATACGCAATAAGACCAATGAGTTGTGATAACGACACCTCACGTCGTGTGTTTGTAGATCAGATCAAACTGAACAAAAACGTCCTCTACCATTTTGCAATAAAGAAATTTGGTACGTTGTTGTGCGTAATTATGCATAAGTTTTTTTTAATTAATAACTAAAAATCTACGTAGTTATTTCCAAAATAGAGTAGAGGACTTTTTTGTTCAATTTGATCTAATGTATACAAACATATATAGCAGCAGATGTCTCTCTCTTATCATCACAGCTCATCTACCGTATGGCATATGACCATGACAAATCTTCTTTAATTAATAACTCAAAATTTTACGTAGTTGTTGGAAAAATAGTAGAGGAATTTTTTTGTTCAATTTTACCTAATCTATCTATACACGTGCGTTGACTCTGTGTCAGACACCCTGTCAATTTTTAGAAAAAGTCATACGTTCTTTAGGTGTCGTTTAAAGAACTTATGACTTAACGATGTTTAAAGAACGTATGATTTGCTCAAAAAGTAATTAAGGAAAGGTTGTATTTTTACTTAACGTTTTCTGATACAAATTTATAAACGTTGTTTCCTAAACACATTGAAGTTTATAGAATTCTCTGGTTCTTTCTTTCCTATATTCTTACCTACAGAAAATTAAATTTACCAATCTGTTACACAATAAAATAAAAATTTCATGCAATTTGTTATCCTTTTTAAATATTATATTTATCATTAATACCTAAAACCGATACGGTAATTATCTTATAATTTAATTACTTTTTGTGCGTATATTTTAATATAATTTATGATATCCTACATAATACTTTATTTACCTAAAACAAAACATTATGCATATATCGCGTAAATAATATGTAAAGAATTCATATAGACGTAATTTTAAAATCTATTATATAATTTTGGCTTGAAGTGAGCTGAAACATTATTACCTTCATTAATTAATAAAATTCAAGGTACCTGTTGATACTGAAATCGTGAGCTTTCGATGACTGTTTGATGATAAAAAACGAAGTTTCGCCATCATATAGTGTCAAATTATAATATCCCGACTAATAATTTATTCTATAGTTATCATTAAGTTGACTTCAGTTGGTTATCAGATCCACATAAAGTAACATTATCGGGTCCTGAGAAGTTATGTAATATTGCGTGATAATCAAGATCTTACCTCGTCAAATTCTAGTCAAATCATCATATATACAGGAAAAAATGTTTTTTCAGATTTAATATATTTTGTTGAATTTAAACAAAAAAATGTAATCACTGAATGAAGGGACCAAAAAAGTTAATGTTTGGTGAAAAAAAAAGAGAAAAAATACTGGTAACGATTGTTACGCTTCATACATTCGTATCCTTCCGTGATTCGATTCCGAGTAACGGCTCTGCAATGGTCATGTTCCATCTCCTAGACGCAACCGCTAGTTATTTAACTTCGAAAATCAAACGGCAAATATCCATTTCAATGACTCTGACAGTATTTTTCTAATTGAATTTTATATAAAATATTCTTATAGTTTTTTAAATATTATAGTGACATATTTACTGACAAACATTGCAAACAACGCAATAACTTTCGATATATAATTGACATTATATGTATTAGCGAATCACTGATTTCATAATTGGTTGTGGATTTTTAATCATACATTAGTAGATAATCTAATCGAAACATTAATAGATAATCTAAACAACAAATTGGTTTCTAATAAATTCAAGGAAATTCAAGTCAACGAAATTAAATTACTAAATTTAAAAGAAAAATACTTGAAAACTTGGATATTTGAAAAACTTGACAATTTACTATTTACTATTTTAAACAATTTACTATTTTAAACAATTGTATCTTTTTTATCAGATAATATTGTTTTCTCCGTAAATTAGGTTTTTTTTAAATTTTCTCTATTAGAAAAAGTAACATTTTGTATTGAAATATGTCATTATTTTAGCTAAACAAATTAAAGTTAAGTAAGAATACTAAATTTAAAGAAATCTTTTTCTCTGTGCAGAGAAAAAAAATATTTTATGTGAGAAATAAAAAATTATATCTCTGTTTAATAATTTCAAAAAATTTGAAATTTCATTATTTAAGGTGTGATATTTTCTCTTTATCATATGTTTCCGTGAAAAAATTCTCCCATCCAATATTCCACGTATAAAATAATACGCTAAATTGATACATTAGGACCTTAATGGGGATCTCTACGATGAACTTAATCACCATAAATTTATAAAAATCTTCCTTATTTAATTGTCATCATATTTTTATCCATATTATATACCATATTTAAGATTTACTTTATATTTACTCAGTTAGACCTTTGTACAATATCAAGCATATTTGAAGAAAATTTATAGTCGGGATTCAGTGCAAAAGTGAAAAAACTTTTTGGAAGCTTAAATATCTTTCTGAAGTAGAAGTAATTATATTAATGTAGAGATAGTAGTAATACGGATAATAATTCATCATTACACACGTAGAGGCAATTATGCAGTTCACATTTTAAGCCGATGCAGTTGTTACTGTGGTATAATATTATTTAGAAAGAGGGATTTACACGATTATGGCGGACATTCGTAACGCGTGCCCGTAAATGACAGATACCGCGTCCGTAAATGACAAATAATCCAGATACGCTCATTGCACATGCGTTACTATTGTCCTGAAAATATTCAAGCGCGTACCTTAATACCTACCGATCGCTAATTATATTCCTGTGCATCGCGTAATATTGGTGATATCGTCGTTGTGGACGCGTTTTCATATCGCGGGATTTGCTGGGCGACAAGAAGACCCGCGGAAGAAGTTGCAGTTTACATCGGTTTACCGTTATATCGCGCACACGGCAAACAACAACACGCGTGCGTCGTATTAGCATTCGCACATGATGAGCGCGACATGTACGACCGAGCTGGACAGCCAAGTACGATAGAATCAAGCCTGCATTATAATGAAAGGGGAAGGCGGGTGATGTGGGAATGCGCGACTACATCAGACAGGGTATACAGTAATCCTGGCGAGAATAATTTAGAAACAGGAAAGCGGAGGAGTTGGGATACTAGACCACATCAAAGCCCGAACTAATGATGTCGAAAGCTTACTAATTACTCCACGTAAACCTACGTACGCTCAGTTCGTGACTGCGTCGGTGCATCGTGAATGCATCATGGGAGATGTTCGCGCATCGACCGAATTTGCTTATATGAAACTTTTGGGGATTTTGCCGATTCAATCCCATTACTGATATAACGGCCGAAACCGCGTTTACTTGCAACTAATGTCCTCAGAGACACAAAAGAAGATATAAATAAGCACGCACATGAATTATGCAGTTTAATATACGGGATGTTCAACGTAACGGTCCGCACGATTTTTTAGACACTTTCGACGGTTTAAAGAGAAGGTGAATTTTCAACGTGCAGACTACAACTTGCGATAACAAAAGGTAAAAAAAATTTCTTTTCGTAAATAAATCAAGTTTACCTTGAATTTTTTAAATGGCACTATGTACTTTTTTACATAATATTGTAAAGGACTTTAATTTAATGCACTATCACAAATATCACTTTTATTAACAACAACAGTAAAACCATAGAAAAACTCTAACTTATGAGCAAATGTTCAAATTGTTTGTCTCCTTTTACAATATAAAATTCTGCTTTTTTAATAAATTACTGTGCATAGCAACTATTATACTACTTGAATATAAATTTGCATAAGCTATAATTACACAGGCCTACAATATTGAGGGATCTTGAATCCTTTTTTAAATAAAGAGTCGTTTCCTGATACTTTTTGATACACTAAATTTAAATCCGACCACAGAATTTTCATATCATGTCAAGATTTTGAGATATTCTAACCTGAAAACGCAGAAAACGCCAAACGCCTTTTGAGGTTTTAGAGTTAAAATAACGATGAAATAAAGCGAAATACATAAATTCTATCAACGAGATCATACTCAGCATGAAAAAAACTACCGAAAACTATGTATTTTTTTGGAGAGGAAAACTATTTTTTATCTACAGAAACAAATAACTTTACCTAATATCACGTTTTCAACAGATATAAATACATCAAACCTTTTAAGCGCGCTAGATCGATTCTCGTAAACTGTGGTATCCCAAGATTTTTAGTACTGCTGATTGCGAATCTGGAGTAGAAAATTAGAAATATTCAAATCTAATATGGCGGACCTAATTGATAGCATCTATAATCTTTATTTTATTTTCCTCTGTGTATCCCATTCCTATTGTCGTAGAAATTGCTCACTTTACTCACTAATTTTCGACTTCAAATTTAATAAGCAACCCAAAAAGTTAAAAGATATCATATTTTACGAAAATCGATCCAGTACGCTTAAAATATCTGATGTATTTACAACTGCCGAAAACGTGACCACATTAGGTTAAGTTATTTGTTTCTGAAGATAAAAAATATTTTTCTTCTCCAGGAAAAAATATATAGTTTCCGATAGATTTTTTTATGCTGAATACGATCCTGTTAGTAGAATTAACATATCTCGCTTTATTTCATTATCATTTCAACTCAAAAACCTTAAAAAAATGTTATTTTTTTGCTTTGATGTTAAAATATCTCAAAATTTTGCAAAATTTTGCGTGATATGCAAATTCTGCGGCTGAATTTGAACTCAGCGCATAGAAAAACATAAGGAATGACCTCATCAAAAAAAGGCGACCTTTGTATACTTATGTTATCTTTTCTCAAGGATTTTGTTGAACATTATTAATTAGTTTTGATACACAAAAGCTTTCAAATATCTCCATAAGAAAAAATCCATCGGAAATAAGTCTGGAGAACGAAGTGGATCTATGTGTACTTATAATACGATTTCCAAAAGTATCCTGAAGATAGAAGTGAGATCCACACTTTGTTTATGAGTATTACTATTTAAAATAATGTTGCATATTTCATATTAAATATTAACAAAAGTGATATTTGTGATAATGTGTTGAATTTATCTTAAAGTCCTCTACAATATTATGTAAAAAAAGTGCATAGTACCATTTAAAAAATTCAATGTGATCATGATTTCTTTATAAAAAATAATTTTTTTACTTTTGTTATTGCAAGTTGTAGCCTGCACGAAGTAGTTAAAAATTCACTTTGCAACCTTTTCCTTAAACCGTCAAAAGTGTCTAAAAAGTCATGCGAACCGTTATAAACACTGTATATATGATTTTTAACTATAACGTTGTCGCAACTATTACATCAGAGCATCATTCAAGTAATTCTTTTTTATATAGTTTTAAACTTTTATACGAAATACTTTCATATGCAACACGAAAATATGATAAATAACAATACTCAATAAAATTAATATATCTTACTGTGAGAAGTCATAATTTTTATAAAAAGTATGTATTTTAATAAAAATTATCATAATATAATACAAAATAGAAATCAATAAGCGCGCATACGAGTTATACAGTTTATTATTTCTAGATTTATATGATTTCTAGACACACACAACACACACACACATATCATTTTAACATTAAATTTTGACATTTCATTGACATTCATTGACATTCATTGACATTTTTAAAGACATTAAATGACGTTTTCATAACATATCCCAGACAACATAATATTAGACATATATTAAAAATCGAAACGTAAGACGTCTTATGTCCCGATCCTGGACATTATACTATATGAAGTGTTACACATATCTCATAACTATTAAATGGAAAATATACTCTTTTAGATTTTTATATTAACGTAAACTAAAAGAAAAAATGATACAACATGGTACAAGACCAAAATATCACATCATAAAGACACATGATATAATGACATTAATATAATATCATTTAAAAAACTTATATATGACGATCATTGGTTGGTTATTTGACGTCATTATAATCACATAATTCGGTATTCAACGCTGATTACAAAACAGGTAGACAATATATAATGGATCTATTACACAATTGGTGAAATGATGCAGTACATAAATTAACGACTCACAATCCAGAAGTCCTGGGTTTCGAATTCCATCAGGATAAAAGACAAATTTTTCAAATACAATATAATATCAAATCAATCAAATTTTAAGCAAAATAATCATACACTAATACCTTAAAAAATAACTTTCAATTAAAAAAGTAATAAAACTTTTAGTAAGAAATATTAATATAATGTTTTTTAGTTTAGTTAACTAAACTTTTTTGTCTCATTACTTTAATCAAATGATTGTAACCAAATTTGTCTAGTTACCTTAATAAAAAATATAATCCGTTCATATTTCACCAAACAGTCGGGTTGATATATTCTGAATTCTGATTAATTCAACTAAATTTTTTCCCGTGTATATTTGATTATGACGTTATCGCAATTGCATTAGTATCACTCTAGTAACTCTTTTTTATATTGTTTTGAACTTTTATTTCGAATAATTTCTTAATATGCAACATATATTAAATAAACAAAATATATTAAATAAACAATACTCAACGAAATTATTATATGTTATATATGTTACTGTAAGAAACCATAATTTTTATAAAAATAAAATACACTAAAAGTTGTTATCATATGGTAAAGATCATTTTACATTATTTACAGTAGCAGCGCAGTGGTGTATGTATAAACCTAACTGCATTTTTAATACAATAAGTATCGTACAATTATACTGTAAATCCTGTTAAAATCATGTTTCGCACTTTTGGTTTCGCGGTTAAAACTTTCAAAAGCGTCAATAATTTTATATGAGGAAGAATATTACTTTATTCAATCATGTAGTGTATTTTCAAATTCGTGTACCTGAGTGCAAACTTAAATAACAAACGGATTGAGAGGAAAAATCTATGAGACATGTACATATGAAAATTTACTCTGCCTATTGTTCAAAATCGGAAAGTAAGACGCGTAATTATATAATAATTCTACAAGAGAGTTACGCAGTTATATTAATATTTTAAAAACAAGTGTTGTTTTGTTCAACTTTATACGCAAATATATGTTAGATATCACACCGTAAATCCAACACGATTTTACTTTTAATTAATATAATATTTAATAGCGAAAAAACAAGAGAAATAAAATACAAGGTATAAATACAATGCAAAAAAGAAAAATAAAATACAAAACTTTGCTAATAAATCACAAAAAATAACGCGTGTTATTTTTTGTGATTATTTATTATTGTGATTTTTATTTTTTATCATGATAACTGAACACATTTCTTGTCTGCTCCAACAAAACTGAATTTATATATACAAAGAATAATCTATACAAAGAATATTGCAATTTCATTTTCCGAAACTATAATAATAGTAATCGGAAGGACAAGCTGTACCTAACAAGCTAATCAGATGCGATAAGAAAACTCTTGAGGCATCTTCCAACTCTAAGGATTCACTAGATATTCATTCGCGAATATAGCACGCGCACACTACCTTGATCAACTTCTGTCAGATTCTACGTAATGCCAGCGTCAATGGAGTTCGAAATGCATTTACGTACTTTGATCAGGTTCGACGTCCTGGTCAATGGCGGAGGTGCCGTGACGCTTCAATTCCAGCGCAGCCCCTTCATACCTCTTACGAGGACCGTCTTCGTACCGTGGAATCAGATCGTCGTCCTACCACCCGTTGTGATGACCCTCAGCAAGGAAGGCGAATTGTATAAATCTAACCAGCCACCGACTCCGGCAATGGGTAAGCATCAATATGTATTACGGCTTTCTTTTCGTCCTTGCGACGCACAGTGGATCGAAATATAGGAAAGAGCAGACACCACACTTGTAAAGACGAAATACAATAGTTAAAGTGAAATAATTATGCATAATCATGAAGTGTATGCTTTATCAATTTAAATAATCGTTACATTAATGCAATATTGTATTAAACAACGATTTTTAACAGCAGTTGTTCTAAGCACGCTGCTACCATCTGTATTGATATTAAACAATATATATCACAAAGTTGCACGGATTTTGCGAAGTAAATATCATAAAGTTGTACAAATTTTGCGTATCATGTATGTATGGATTTGTGTGTGTGTGTGTATGTGTGTGTGTCACAGCAGAGATAAAAACCCCATGCGTGTTTAATAACAGTTTATATCTAATAAAAAGTTAAATTTATGCTGTAATTCTAAGCAAATATCACAAGTTGCACGAATTTTGCGAAGTAAATATCACAAAGTTGCACGGATTTTGCGTGTCACGTATGTATGGATTTGTGTGTATGTGTGTGTGTCACAGCAGAGATAAAAATCCCATGCGTGTTTAATAAGATTAACAGTTTATATCTAATGAGAAGTTAAATTTATGCTGTAATTTTAAGCAAATATACGAATAAATCGTAAAATCATACAGTCGTAGTTTACGAAAAAAAAAACAAAAAAAATCGTAGATATTTATGAGTTATCATATGACATACGGTCCGTATAGAATTGCAGACCTACTCATAAGTTTTTACGAATCTTACAAAAACACGTTACGAGTTTTACGATTTTATCTAGAATTGCAGTATTAGTCGTTTTGTTGAGTAACATTGTAAAACAGTCGATATTTTAGCTAATGAAAAATTAAATGAGTTTAGTTTTTTTTGTTGTGCAGCAATGTTAAAAAATTTAAATTAAAAGCCTGAAGAAGCTCTACTAATCCGACCTAATTAAACGTAACTTAATTTAACCTCTCCCTCCTTTAACATATACAACCCTCTTTCCCACAAATACATAGATATATAACCCTCTTTATTCCCACTCTCTAAATACGAACACGCCTTCCGTCTGAATTGTATTTTTGTGGTAATCCCTTTTTAATTTGACTTCATATAATCTATCCAAATCCAAATCCGTTCCTATACAGTTGTTCTTCTTTCTTTACATATACACAAAACCTCTCCTTTTCCCAAATCCTCTACCCCGCAAAACTCTGAGTTTTATAATAGCTCCGTACCTCAACAGAATTTCTATATATCATGTTCTTGTTCCATTTTCAAGATGTTCCCGAAACATTACAAACTTTTTAATAGCTCATATTCAGAAGATTAAAATCTATAAAAAAACATAATTTTGTTTATTTACATCTTTTTAGGCAAAAATCAGTCCTTTTTTACACACTGATTTACATAACTTTAAAACTTAACTTTATTTATTCGATTTTATTCAGGATATGTCAAAAAATAGAGATTCACAAAAATAGAGATATCTCCTATATGTGATGAGAAGAAACATTCAAACCAACTTGATATTTTTATTTGAAACAAATATATGTCAACAACTCAATAAAAAAATAAGATATGACATTCGCGATGGTTACGAAAATAAGAAAAAATATTTTCTTAAACTATACACAACATCCTAACCCTACTTTCCTTTCCTTCCTTCAAAAATAACTTGATGACATGTAAAAAAATAAAACAATTTTCATCATAGCTTTTTATTTTTATCTAAATATAATAATTTTTATCAAGTATGTTGTTTAAAATAAATCTCAATTAATAGTGATAGCGAATGGACGCTCAATAAATTACTACAGATGCAAAAAAAATTTCAGTTGGTGCAACCAAATAAGAACCAACTGAAAATAAGGTGATCAGAAGCGATATCTCTGTTGTGAAAACTAATATTTCTGTTGTCGCAACCGAAAATATTCGTCTGAACATTCAACGATATTAGAACTCGGTTGAGGCAACTGAGGCCAATTGACTATACAGAAGCCTCATGAAGGAATTTTTCTGTCCCTACAGCCAAGTTTTCGTCTGATCCCTAAGCAACTGAAAATTCGGTTGCACCAACAGAATTGATTTTTCCGTGTACTAAAGATATGAAAAGATGTATCTTGCGAAAAAACATTTAAGAGCACCAAATTCTGTTAGAGTCGGTCTACAACCTCGCTTTAAGCTTTAAGTCGTAAGTAACTGACTAATCACAATCAATTATTCCTGAGACATAAGGAGAATAATTGACTATGGTTGGTCAGTTGTTTAGGGCTTAAAGCTTAAAACAAGGTTGTAGACCGATACTTAATTATCTTAAGTATAAAGTCCAAGTAAAGTTGGATATCTTAAGTATATTATCTTAAGTATAAAGTAAAATATCCATTCTTGCAGTAGTAAATATGGCAAATTTCTCGTACACTTCGAGAAAATTAGGATTATAGGTTTCAGTAGAATGAGCATATATAGGGTGATATATGTGGTGAAGTTTTGAAACAATATACGATATAGAAAATAGCAATTAAATATGTTATATTAAATATATATATTTAATATATCTCAGCAATGTATCATCAGATTATCATATTAAATATAAGCAGTTACAGTTAGAGACAAAAGCTTCATTGAGTAATTTCAAAGCAAACACGAATAATGTTAATATAAAAATTAACAGTTAATATAATGTTTTATTATCAATTTCTGAACTGTGAAAATGTTGATGTTTAAATGATAATAATAAAAAGAATATCAATAGAAATATTATAATTGACTTAAAAAGCTTCGATTTAAACATTCTACAACAGATTTTTTATAGTTTTAATACAGAAATAGCGACTTAATTTTTTACTTAATATCCATTGATTCAAACGTTTCCATCCACTGTGCGACGCCTCAGTATATACACATATCGCATTATCTATCAACGTCACAAACAAGAAAATGGATAACAAAAGAGGCAAATAAATTCGGTGAAAACGTAGCTTTCTTAAAAATTTTCACTAAAAGGTTAATATGTGATTATTGCCTTTATCTTATACAATCACACACTTACACACAATTGAGGTAGCCCATATGTTACCTTATCATCACTTGTCTTCGTAAAATGTCGGTTCCCGGAGCTATTCAGCGTGTGCGCCATCTTTGTTCTGTCCTTCAGTGTTATGCATTTTTAAATTTCTTATTATTTATGGAGTACAACATAATAGGTTTCCCAGGAATTTCGATGGGACTATTTAGCGAGCACGTCCCGTGCTTGGAGCACGATCACGAGATACTGCGGCCCGTCATTGTCAGCACATGGATGCCAGAGAAAGTCGGTGGTTTACTTGGAAAAAGCTTGGTCTTCGCTGAAAGTCAGGTGAATTTCCCTCTTAGAAATGGTTTTATGTATAATACGTATAAAACGAAAATCGTGCGATTCTCAGAAAAATAAAGAGATGCAAATTTAACTTAAAACGATAAAAATGTTACGACTAGATTAAATCTAGGAAATAGCGTCCGATACCGATGTAAAACTAATAAGTATGTCTACAAGGGAATAGAAAATAAACCGAAAGTAAAATATTTTAACGTTAATCTTGACCACAATGATATACCGTGTAGCAAAAAAAACATAAAAAAAATATTTTGGTGAATTCAGTAAATTTATAGCTTGCTGGAACAAAAATAAACGTTATAGCTAAGCAGATTTACTATTGCAAAGAAATTATGTATGAAAACAATTGTCAACCTGCTCACGAAGTAATTTTTATTAATATTATCTTAGTTACTGCAACAAATAGTTTCGTATTTTAAACTAGTTGAATTTTGCAAAACAAACTCATTAATTTTGCCAAACAAATCATGCATTTATTCTATAGATAATGAAGAAATATTTTTGTTAGTATTACGGAAAAGTGCACTCCCATTAAGTCTGTGAATGCGAATATCCATAATAAGATATATGTTTTTATATTATGCAAATATTAAATTGTCTTCTTTATATTAACAATTTATATTAACAATTTTTTTATGCATTTGTGATATAATGTATTTATAAGTTATATTTACCTTTATATATATATATATATATATATATATATATATATATATATATATATTTACATTGATATCTTATTATATTGTTAGAATGGTTACAGAATCAATGTTCTAAGCATTTCATTGATTATTTTGCTTTAGCTAGCTTCTGTTGCTGAAATAACTAACGATTTGTCTGTAATAAAATCCATTAAAATATACTAATTTTCCCTTGATAGAACAGTAAAAAGATTAGTGGCATATATTACGCAATATTTTCCACTAGTGTAGTAGAAAATCATTTTTGCTGTATTAACAAATCTGCCGTGTGTGTTATAACATTAAATTTTACTAGATACAATCACAAATCTTATGCAGCTCTGCGACTTAGTTGCTATAGTATAGCAAGCTGTTTGTATATTACTACAACTATAGACTTACTAAATCAGCGAAATTTTCAGTTGTGACAGCAAATCTCTTTTTCCGTGTATAAAAGAAACGCGAGTTAACAAATCCATGCATCTTCGCAAAGAAAAGAATGGCGTTAAGGCGATGCTTTAACTCAACGTTAAACGTCGCTTGCAGATCGTGCAGGAAAGCATCGCTATTTCGGGCACAAACCTCCACTTGATGTATCAAAGCCGCCAGGCTGCGGGCTACCTCTCTACCGTGAGAATGCAACTGACTGGGTCGTTCATTCCGAAATCGCTGACGCACGTACACGTGTACGTGGAGATCGAGGGCACGCTTCACACGAAAACGTACGAGGCCGATCCGAACCTGACGCATACGTTCGCCTGGAACAAGAGGAACATTTACAAGCAAAAGGTGTACGGCGTGGCGCAGGCGAGGATCTCGATCGGCTATCAGCATTCCACTTGTCCGTCAGTGATATGGGAGACACAGATGGTCACGGTGCAAGGATCCGACGTCGATATTTCCGACATCGGCGGTTGGGGACTCGATATCCATCACTATTACAATTTCCACAAGGGGATTTTGCAGAGAAGCGATGGCTCTACTCTCCATTTCAAACAATATCCACGAACCGTTAAGGTGGTGATGGGCACCGGCCTACAAAGGAGCTTAGTGTGTCAGAATTGCGACGGCCTCGCGAAAGATGCCAGACTTCTGACTCCGGTAGCGCTCACCAGTGGACCTGACGGTAGCATTTACGTGGGAGACTTTAATCTCGTGCGTCGGATTACACCCGAAGGGAAGGTTTACACCGTTCTGATTTTAAGGTATCCTACAAATTTTTAATTTTGCGAACTGCGCTAAATTGATCGTAGGATTTGTATGATTCTGAACACGTGACTCAAACACGTACTATATTGAATCTTTTAATAATCTCTTGTAGCGCGACTCAAGTGGCGTATCAGTACTATCTGTGCATTTCACCGACTGATGGGCACTTGTACATCAGCGATCCGGAGAAGCATCAAATATTGAAGGCTCTCTCACTGGAACAAGTCCAAGACCCTAGCATCAATATCGAATCTGTCGTTGGAAGCGGTGAGAGATGTATTCCAGGCGACGAAGATCACTGCGGCGACGAAGGCCCAGCTATCCATGCGAAATTGGCTCATCCTAAAGGTAAGCCTTGCAAATTGACGCATACGCAATATACGCTCCGTCAAAGTAATTTCGAGTGACGTCGAGATCATGAGTGTGTTCATATACAGGGTGTTATATCTGACACGCTACGCACATGTACATATAGATTAGATCAAAAAATGAACAAAAAATTCCTCTATTATTTTTCATACAACCATGTAAAATTTCGAAACATTAATGAAAAAAGATTGACGAACGACATGACTATCGGCTGATAGCTTAAGGCAGAATAACGATGCGAATAATGTGTGGTTAATTATTTTTAGACGCATCCAGCAAGAATGCAATGTGTCGTTAAGGAACAATTGCGTTTCAACCATTTTCGATAAGTTATCGCGCTCACAGAGTTCGTCTCACAACATCGCGCGCTCTGACTCATTAAGAGACAGTCGCGTCTCATTCGCCATTTTTGATGAGACAGAACTCGTCTCACAGCATCGCACATACTAGTTCACCAATCTTTTTTCATTAATATCGCGAAGTTTTACGTGGTTGTTTGAAAAATGGTAGAAAAATCTTTTGTTCAATTTAATCTAATCTATCTGCACATGTGCATTGACGTATCTTATATTTATTACAACTAAACTTCATGTTGATAGAACCGAAAATTTTTCTTCGTGTACCACGTTCCTTGATAAGATTTAGAGCAGAGTAACGTTACGTTATCCACAGGAATCGCAATTGCCGCCGACAAAACAATATATATCGCCGATGGGACCAACATTCGCGCGGTTGATCCTCGAGGTATCATACATACGCTCGTAGGACACCACGGTCATCATAATCATTGGTCACCTGCGCCCTGCGTCGGAGCTATTCCGGCACACCAAGCTCAACTACAATGGCCAACAGGATTAGCTGTAAATCCGCTGGACGGATCTTTGCATTTCATCGACGATAGGCTGGTCTTGAAGCTCACCAGTGATCTGAAAGTGCGCGTGGTTGCTGGCACGCCTCTTCATTGCACCAGTAATGCCAACAGCAACAGCAACGGTAACGGTAACGGAGAGCTACCGAAGTTGAATTCGTCAACAACGATCAATTCGAAGAAGTTGGACGAAGTGCTCGGATCAGTGTTAGCCATCGGTTTCAGTCCAACCGGCGATTTGTATATAGCCGATCGCGATTCTCACCGAGTGAACTCCATCAGGGTCGTCGATTCGTCCGGAAAAATGTCGCACTTTGCTGGTCAGCAGCAGGAGAGATTACGCGGTCAATGCGAGTGTAACAATACGACACCCAGCACTAAGGACATGGACGCCTGCGCCTGCACAGACGACATCAGCAGCACCGAAACGCTTTTATCATCGAACGCTAAGTTCACTGCGATATCCGCCTTGACGGTTTCGCCCGACGGGGTCTTGCACGTGGCCGATCAAGGTAGTCTTCATATCCTGGCTCTACAGCCGTATCTGCCGAATCACGACGAGAGCGGAGAGTTCCACATTCCATTTCCACCCTCGAATGAGATCTATGTGTTCAATCGTTACGGTCAACATATCTCCACGAAGGACTTGACGTCCGGCAGGACTCGCTACTCGTTCTTGTACAGCAAAAACACAAGCTACGGCAAACTGTCCACGGTGACGGACAGCGCGGGCAATAAGGTTCAGTTCTTACGAGACTACAGCGGTGTTGTCAGTTCCATCGAAAACACTCAAGATCACAAATCCGAATTGAAGATCTCCGCGATCGGATTCCTGGAGAAACTATCTGAACATGGCAGGGTCGACATTGCTCTAGGCTACGACGGCATGACCGGCTTACTCACCAGTCGATCAAGGGTAATGAAAATTTTTATTGTTTGATTTCATGGATAATAAATAACTCTTATTAATGCTAAAATGTTTTGTCTACTAAAGTTTTGTCTACAAAAGTTTTGTCTACTCCAAAATTGTCAATAACGAAAAGTCGATCGGCAAAATGTCAGATAATATAAATACTATTAGATTTGATTTCCGGGTTTGAACCGTGTGGATTCTTCTTTATTTCCGACGTTTGATTCCGACCATGTTCCGTTTGTTTCGCGAACATTTCAGTCCGCTTCATCAGGGAGGAACGACCCGATGACATCAGGTGAAACGGACTGAAATGTTCATGAAATGAAACAAAATCCACGCGGCTCAAACCCGGAAACCAAATCTAATATGCATGAACACCGCGAAAGCCTAAAATATCAAATATAAGTACTAACCCAACCACTATTTTACTTGTTTTAATAAATGCTTTGCAGTATGTTTGATATAGAATGTTGCACTAACATACAGCTTATACGAGTTGCTTACCCGTTTTGCTGGCAAGCATGCATAGTTATGTACAGATTCAATAGGTCTTGACGAAATGCTCAATTGTGCAATTAAAAATGCGCATGTGATCATTCTACCAAGGCTTATATCTGCACTATATCTAATTACGCGTATTTACCAACGAAACGGGTAAGTAACTAGTTATATTAATCTGTATGTTGGTTCAACATATAAATTTTATATAAATGTGTGGGGTTTATTATCATAATTAGCAGAAAACATAACTACGCATACAAGGTGTCCCATTTTAAACAAATTAACCAAATATCTCGAAAATTAAGCCTGGCAGACAAAAATATTTCAAACTTATACAATTTTGAAGGGAAAAAAAGACAATGCTCTGAATCTTAACTATAATTATTCGCAATGGTCATATGGATGTCAACCTGGTTTTTTAAATAAAAAGTGATACTTTTTGTAATAAATTCTAAAACATAAATCAATTCTGCGTAGAAAATCTTTAAAACATGTATGACCTAAGTTCAATAGTTTGAGAGTTATTTAGCAATGAAAAATGCAACTTTGCTAATTTTCATCAACAATAAAGCACGCGCGAATTATGTATATGTTATGCAAAAGCATGTGCGTATAGATAAATATAGACGTGTTTAAATTCTTATTATTTATAGAGCTTTTAATATTATCCAAGATCAACAACGCGCATTGTTGTACTAAGCCAATATTGGTTAAAAATCGGGTGTCAAAATTTGAACAATAATGAAACTCTAGCGGCTACTTATAAATATATAACTTTTTTTTTTACTCTTTTACTTTCTTACTCACTCTTTTACTCTCTTTTACTTTTTTACTCTTTTTTCTTTTAATGACATATCGCTAAACTTGTTTTAATAAATGCTTTCCAAAAACATATACATCTTTGAAATATGTCAACAGAATAAAAAATTATGATTACCTATTATTAATAAAAAATTATTATTAGCTTGTTATGATACGCCGCGATCAATAAAACATGCACGTAGTGTTCCTTGATTGCTACGAATCTCCCACCATGTCCTGGACAATGCTAAGAACAGGAACTTACACATATCTATACTTATCCATGTGCAAGCACACGCATATACACATATATAAATTCGCAAGCGCATCATTGTCGATGAAAATTAGCGAAATTACACATTTTCATCGCTAAATAACTCCTAAACTATTGAACTTAGGTCATACACGTCTTAAAGATTTTGTACACAGAATTGAACGATTTTTTAAGATCTGCTTCAAAAAAATATCACTTCCATTAACAAAAACAAGGTTAATCTCCATATGACTTTACCAAATGACTGTAGTTAAAATTCAAGATCAACGTCCTTCTTTCTCCTCAAAACTTTAGAAATTTTGTCTGAAACATTTTTGTATCTCCCGTCTCAGTTTCCGAAATATTCGGCTGACATGTTTAAAATGAGACATCCTGTATAAAAATTTTTCTGCAAACTTTCCATGTATTTTTAAGCTTCTAAATTTACGAAATATACGAATATGTGTAAAGTCTCTTCGTAGAAATAATCTAAAGTGAAGAACATAGTATAATCACATATACATACATACGCAACAAACAACGACATGCTCTCGTAAATAATTCTATTTAGCAGTCATACCGCAAGATCCGCAATTAGCCACTTACGGGCCGTTCTTTCTTTATTTTAGATTGTTTCTAAATTCAGTTGTAAAAATATATCAATGTTTTTTGAAATTTTCTGAGCAGAGTGAACATACGTTCGATATTTTCAAGCTGCAGAAACTTGCAAAAAAGCTAGAATTACCAATAGTTAACGACTTATTTCTACCCAGATAATATCACAATAAATTCTTAAAATATTCTTAAAATTTTCTCCTTTCTTGAGTTGTAATTTTTTAGGAATTCGTAAAGAAGAATACGATAAGAATGATTCAGGAAGTAACATTCAATACAATTCGAATCCTTAAGAACTTTTTGAAGTATTCATGTAGAATTGTTCCATATCAATAGTACACTTTATGAATTCAAGAAGACTATATAATAATACATATCAGCTAACAATAACACACGTATACACATTATATCAATGTTATAATTTTTCATTCAACAATGTGTAAATATTGAAAGAGCCTAAAAATAATGTAGCAAAAAAATACTGTAGTAAAAAAATACTGGCGACTGAAGGTTGCGAACACTTCATACAGGACACGTTTGCTGTCCACACACGTGTCCTGTGGTTTCAAATTCCGAGCGACGGCAGATCGGTCACCATTGTCGCGGTCGGCATTGCTTGAACATTAAAAGTAACACAGGCATTTGCTAAACGCAGTCACAGAAAATAATTGTAACTAATAGAACATTTGTAATTTCTGAATGAATTCTCAGAATATTTAAATTATATACTCTTTATAATGAATTTTTTAAAAATATCTCAAGACACGAATTGATTATTAATTCGTCAAGAATTCTCCAAATAGTTGTTTATTTTCTCGTAAATTCTATAGGTATTTTCTAAGGCTCCTTGTATCTCGCCGCGATCATGTTAAATTTTGATCTCAGAAGAAAGGAACATATTAACGACATATTAACGACATATTAACGAAAGTTGTGTGCCACTTCTGAGTAAAGATAAATGTGGATGAAAAAGTATTTGAGATTGCTTGAGCATACTTTTAAAATTGTCCAAAATGTATCTTCCCCTGACGATTAATAAAAATGCACAATACATAATATAATTATATATTGACGATTAATAAAAATAGTCATATAATAAATAATGAAATAAGGAATACAGACAAAACTCATTTCATCTTTTTACATGTCTCATTTATTAAACGACTATTTATTGATTATTAGAGAAAAGGGATACTTTTCGGACAATTTCACAAGTGTGCTCAAGCAATCTCAAGTGCTCTTCCATCTATATTTATCTTTATTCAGAAATGGCACGCAACTTTCGTCAGCATGTCATTCCTCACTTCTGACGTCACAAATCCGACATAGCCGACGAGGTACAAGGTGCCTTAAAATAAATTTTCTACGAACTTCTACTCATTTTTGTGCTATCTGAGTACCAGAACAGTTGAAATGTCAGATTTTTCAAAAAATATATAATGCAAGAGAAAAAATGTTCATTTATTTCTTTTAGTTTTACTCAGTGTTAATTAAAATTATAAAGTGCACCGTTATAAATTCGAGTTTTACAAGAAATTACAAATCCGTTATTTTGATTGCTTTGGTAGCTGTAGTGTTAATGAATAATTTGTTTTAACTTAATGCAATAAAAACAAAACAAATTTTATTGAATGCGAAAAAGGAATTAAACGATAAAAACGATAAAAATTCATTTAATAACGTTTTATTACGAATTTTAGGGAGATGAAACGTATATATACAATTACGACAGTCTGGGACGCGTTACTGACGTAATACTACCAACAGGCGAAAAATTGAAATTATCAACGGATTTATCCGACGACGAGGATCTGTCAGTTAAAGTGTATGCTCCGTTGCAAGCTTTATCAAAGGGCGACAAACAACGATTTGTGGAGTTTAAAATGAAGAATGAGAAGTCAAAAATGTTGACGATCACTGACGGTACGTATTTAAACTATTTATTATTTAATTTTTCACATAATCTGTCATTTATTATATTACAACGCGTGTTATTAAGAAATTCCTTATACATACCTTCTTTGTTATTTATGTTTTACTGTTTCGTTTATATTTTATTATTTATTTATATTCTGCTTTTTTATTTATGTTTTTATTTATGTTTGTTATTTATGTTTTACGAGAAAGAACAAGAAAATTTTCGACGGTATTAATAAGATTAATCCAATGTAATTTCTCGTTCGTAGGTACTAAGCTGACGAAAGTAATCTCATTTACAAATAGCAGTTTGGAGGCATTTTTACCTGGTGGTGGTAGAATATTGAGCGCGCCCACAGCGAAGCATCCTTTGCTGGAAGTATCGTTACCAGTAGAAGCGGAGATGTTGCCTATGTGGAGTTATCAGTTGATATCATTGGGCGAATTAACAAATACAATGACGACAACGTATAATCTAGTGGGAGACGTGAGCCACTCCCAGCAAACTCTCAACAGAGAAATCTGGGTAAATGATACAAGAGTCATAAGCGTTGAGTTTGAACAAGCGTTCAGTCGCGAAACATTCTACGACAAAACGGGCACGCCCCTGTTGACGGTGACCTTCGATCTGGCGGGCCTACCGTTAGTCTGGCAACCGCACGAGCAAGGTCACAATCTCAGCATAATATACGATCGGTTTAACAGAATTGAAAGCTGGAAATGGGGCATATCCGACGAATCTTACGGTTACGATCGATACGGCCAATTAACGGAGGTCACCGACAGCAAAGATGGCACAAAGCGATACACCTACAATGACTTCAATATGATGTCGAAGATCACGCTCGCCAGTAACAGGGAATTCACCTTACAATATGACGACGACGGTGGACTACGACACATTATTCTGCCCTCGGAAACCAAGCATTCCTTCTCCTGTCAAGCTTCCCTCGGTTTCCTGAGAGTCACGTATACTCCGCCCGGCAGTACGAGGGCTTACCTGCAGCATTACAGTCATAACGGGAATTTGCTGCAAACCGTATTCCCGGGAGATGGAGCTCGCATTGTCTATAGGTATCATACGTCGGGTCAATTAGCAGAAGTAGTTCACGGGGATGGCAAAAGTGAAATCAAGTACACCGACAGCGGACTGCCCTCCGAAGTGATACACTCCGAGAAAGACGTGGAGTACAAATGGGATTATCAATACAATGCGGGACTGCTAGTGGAGGAGCGTATAGACTTTGGCGCGAAAACCGGCTTGAGCAACGCCAAATTCACTTTCGAGTACGACTCGAACTTTCGGTTGATCGCGGTGCAGGGTAGAATAGGCGGACAGACGTTACCACCGTACACCATGGCTTACAGCACGAGGTCGGGCACGTTGGAGCAAGTCGGCCAATTCAAGGTGACGCGGCCTCAACCGAACGAGACAACCGTATTCGACGGAACTGCATTGTTTTCGCGCACCACAGACGACAGGTTTCTGGAAACCGAGGTTACGGTGACGATTCACCGAATGCAGGTATTCAGGATGACGTTCACTCACGATTCGCGCGGTCGCATCAATCAGACGAGGACGTATACGCGCAACGTCGCTATCAACACATACACCAACGTGAAGAATTATACATGGGACTGCGACGGTCAACTAACCGGAGTGGAGGCGCAAGAGCCTTGGGGTTTCAAATACGATGCCAATGGTAACATGCTGTCGCTCACTTATCGTGGTAACACGATTCCGATGGAATACAACACCATGGACCGGATAGTTAAGTTCGGCGATGGCCTCTACAAGTACGACAATAGAGGTTTGGTGGTGCAAAACGCGAGGGAGGAGAGATTCAATTACAATACCAAAGGACTCCTCGTGCGCGCCACGAAGCGCGGCCGCTTCGACGTGCGATACTATTACGATCATTTGGACCGCTTAGCCACGCGAAAGGACAATTACGGCAATGTCACGCAGTTTTTCTACAACAACCAGAAGCGCCTGCACGAAGTGAGCCAAATATATAGTCCGCGCGACGGCAAACTGATGTCGTTAGTATACGATGACAGGGGACATCTCATATTCGCGCAAGTGTACCGTCACAAGTACTACATCGCCACTGATCAATGCGGCACGCCCATCATGATTTTCAATCAATACGGAGAAGGCATCAGGGAGATCATGCGTTCGCCTTATGGTCACATCGTTTATGATTCTAACCCATATCTATATCTCCCGGTTGATTTTTGTGGTGGACTCTTGGACCAGGTAAATAAAAATTTCTTTTCTCAGAATATAGCAAAATAAGGAAAGATGGTATCGACGTTGATTTTTTACCAATAAACACCAACTAACAATAATATTGCATCGATATTACAATTTTCCTTTTACAATTTTACTTAGCGATGTAACTGTTACATACCACACATCTCATACAACACAACGTTTAAAATAGAGAAATAAGCCATAACCTTGCTTTAAGACGTAAACTGTAAGAAATTGATCAACTATGATTGATTTTTAGCAAGGACAAGGACTAAGACTTCTTAAAAGCGTCTCTCAGACGTCGGAATATAAGACGTCTTTCAGGTGTCGGAATATAAGACGTTTTTCAGACGTCTTATGTCTCGACTTTAGACATTGTGTTGTATGGGATATTATATTACATTTATACACATAACACATAGATGTAATGTTAGTTGATGTTTATTAGGTCGTCGAAATATTAGTCAGTCTCAAGATCGAATACAAACGTGTGCTTTTTACGTTCTAACGCCATGGTATGATTCCCAGGTAACATCTTTGGTTCATATGCCAAACGGAAAGGTTTATGACCCACTGATCGGCCAGTGGATGTCACCGCTTTGGGAAAACGTTCTGGACAGGTTGGACAAACCAACGCACCTACATCTTTATAGATTGAACGGAAACGATCCGATCAATGTCAGGCATACGAACAAACCGAGTCAACCAACCGGTAGGAGTTCGTATTACGATATTTTCAAATAACAGGGTGACGTCAAATAACGTATTAATGATGTCTCAGATGTTTAAAGTTAATATGTCATTAACATGTTAATATGTCATTAATATTATTTGATATATCATCATATTTACTAGATTATCGATGAAGTAACTTGTTCCTCAGCATGCATTTAATACTTAACGCATTCTAATCAAATTCCAGATCACATATCATGGCTATCGCATCTTGGATACGACCTGAAAAGTCTGGCGCCGCAATTATTTCCGGACAAGCTGTCGGATAACCTCATGCCGCCAGCTCTGGGCCCGGATACTTCCATATTTGGTAAAAAGAAACGAACGCGCAATCTGGGCGTCCAGTCTGGCTTCTTTGCGCATATTGCCCAGAGGCACTCTAGTGACGCCGTGAGCCTGTCTGCGCCACTACGGTCCGCACTGAAAAAGGACACCAGTGAGTTGATACCAAATCGTCTGGGTGCAGCGTCAGACCCACCGTTCGGCAAAGGCATCCTAGTCTCGAGAACTGCCGACGGTCAAGCGGTAGTGTCCAGTGTACCGACCGCTAACGCGATCTATGGCGATGTGTTCACATCTGTATTCAATCGCTCGTACTTCTTGCCGTTCACATTCGTTGTGCACAGTGCGCAGCAGGATGCCTTCTACTTTGTGAAGGAAGAGACTTGGCGTGCCAGCGAAGACCGCGGCCAGTTGAAGCGGCTGGGTGGCCAAGTGAACACGACGTTCCACGAGAACGAGAACGGGAGCGGTAGTAGCAGCTCGCTGATCGACGTGAAAATACACGGCGCCAGCTACGTGGTGAACCTGCGCTACGGCACCACAGCGGAGAAGGAGAAGCAACGGCTCCTACATCACGCGAAAACGAGCGCCGTGAGGAAAGCGTGGCACCGAGAACGCGAAGCGCTCAAGGCGAACATACCCACTTCGATGGAGTGGATGGCTACCGAACAAGACGAGATACAGAAGAATGGTATCGCGAGCAATTACGACGGCGAATACATACATGACGTGCAACTGTACCCCGAACTCGCCGAGGATCCCTACAACATCAAATTCGTGAAAAAGGCTGTGGACCAGTCAAGCAAGAAGCGACGCAGGAGGAGAGGTGTGCCGTCCTGTGAGCTTTGGTGGTTGGACAAAATGTGCTAAAACGTTCATATGTCGTTGGCACCGAGTCAGTCGTACCGTCCCCTTCGCGTGGGGATATTGTCCAGTCCGAAGCCGCGCAAACTTTCGACTAAGCGACAACCGAAGCAACGAGCGAGAAACGGCTGAAACGAGGAGAAGAAGATCGAGCCGCTGCAGCATACGTAGCGTGCTCTGTATATGCACGCGCATATATATAAATGTACTGAATACTATCAAGAAGTTTTATACCAAAGTCTATTTGTGTATTTCAAAGATGCCAAAAACACTATAACGTTATCATATATATCTATGTGTGTGTGTATGTATGCAATGTACATGCATCTACACACATATATACATATATATTATAAATAAATATATATATATATATATATATATATATATACACCGTGAGATAGGGTATAGTGTATAAGAGAGTTGAACACGCGGAAGAGAACTCGGGTTACCAAGCATTCACTCCACGGACCAGCTGTGCGACCGAAACGCGATTGACAGATTCGCGAAAGCCTTATAGCGACAAAGAAGGGAGAAAGAGAGAGATAGAAAGGAGAGGGAAGAGAAGGAAGGAGAGAAAAAGAGGGAGAAAGTAAGAAAAAGAAGAGAGGGTAACCGGAAGAATGTATATCCGACCCCGGGAGTGATAAACTTCGAGGGGAAGTAGAAACATTGCGAGATCTTCTCGAAGATTCAGCGTGACGTTGACGTAACTGGGCTTCTTCACTAGTTCACAGATTCGGGTGCAATTCGAATTCGATGGGTCCGTTCGCGCGGAGCAAGGCCGGCAAGCTCGTCGAGCTTGCGCTCGAGGCCTAAAATAAACGACGGACCGTAGTACCGCGCGCACTCGTCGTACACATGTGCAATGGTACGTCACGTTAATGTAAGATATATACACGTACACACGCGCACGCGCGCACACACACACATACACAACACACATATACACACATATATATCGCAAAAAAGAAGAAAAGAGATACGAGGAAACGAAGAAGTAAGGAGGAAAGGAGTCGAAAAACCGGCCATTCGTCGTTGAGGGCGAATCGAGTGAGAGAAACTAGTCAATACATAGCTTTACATTGACGTAGCATTCTTCTTCGTAGAAGAGTAAAGACGCGAGGCGAGTGTGAACCAGAAGAAGCGACGTCATTAAACGTCACGATGACGCGGACGCTATGTGTTCGTCCGGCCGGCCCGGTTGATTCGTGCGATACTTGAACGTCATACTCAGATGGTCGCACATCTCGACGTCGGTACGTACCGGAACGAAGTAGATACCGGTCGCCCGGGAGCGAATGCGGAGCGCGTCTCAACAATGAATGGCCCTGCGAAGAAGTGTAGGTAGACGCGGAATCGAAGAAGGAGCGGTTCTCCTGATGTCCCTAAGAAAGAGCGACGATCGTGCGGACTCGATCGTGCGGTCTCGAGCTTGAATTCCGTTCGCGGCTTAGACAGTTAAGGACGAGACGAATTTGTATTATAAAGTGGTGCTTTTCTTGTACGAGCGAGCGAGTGAGCAAGTGATCGAGAGAGAGAGAGAGAGAGAGAGAGAGAGAGAGAGAGAGAGTGAGTGAGTGAGTGAGTGAGTGAGTGAGTGAGCGAGTGAGTGAAAGAGGAAGGAAGAGAAAGAACGAGTGAATGTGGAAAAGAATGAGAGAATTGCTGAGATGATGTGACTGCGACAATGAAGCGTGCATGAAGACGTCGAATACGAATATAGCGAGACTAAACATATTTTTAACATGTGGATGTGTCCTATCTGTAGCGTAAACGTTCCCGATCGTCGCCGGTCGGCAATTTATATCGCAATGTCATGCACGAGTGTGAAGGAGAGAGATAGTCGGTCGGGATCGACGGTAGAAATCCCGTAATAGGGATCGCAAAGGGAAGAGCGTATCAGCCGATGTCTGCGTATAAGCTGGAAACGAGAAAAATGAGGGAAGGAATAAAGTTATTATCGGTAAATAATACGTATATACATTATCGCATATTTGTGCTTGCTGGATATGAACGTAACGAACGTTAACTATGTTTCCTCATCGAGAATAACTAAATGTATATCCAAAGTTACTGTCCGCCAAGTATCGATCGTTTTTCGCCGTATACGCGTGCATGTATGTATGCGCCAATTGCTCGAGCATAAAGGCCACGTGCGTCGAAGCACTTTAGCGTCGAGAGTCTTTTTCGTTATCACTTATCACCTTCGGCCGATCCTTCTGTTCCTATTCCCTCGTCCCCCATTCTCCTCCCTCAGACTTCTCCGCGAAGATCCCGGATATGTCGCGCGTGTATTGTTTACTTGCGTCCTCACGAGTGTTCGTACTTGTCATTGATATTTTGCAAACGCAGTTTTAGAAGCGACGCCGTTTATGGATAGTTAGTGGCACGATACATTGCTGTCCGTGAATAGATGAAAAAAAAAAACGTTATTTATATGCTGCGTGTGTAAAAAGAGAAATGAATGAAAGAAAGAAAAAAAAGAAAGAGGCGGAGAGAGAGAGGAGAGAAAAATAGGGAAACATCCTAACGTATTTTTATTCGAGCGAGTGTTTAGACCACTCCAGCAACGTGAAACTCTGAAAGGCGTCTACAGCCCGTATTAATTTTTATCATTTGAAACTCATCTCAATTGAGAAACTCACATTTGAATTCAGAGTTACATGAGAGTTTTTCAGTTAAATCGTCATTACAGATGTAAATAACACATATGTCATAATTTAATAAAAAAAAGTTGAATATAACTCTGAATAAAAATCGAAGTATTTTGCATGTGTTTCAGATGCCAACTATTAATATGGACCTAAAATCTGTATTGACAGTCATTACTCGAAACTTGTCCCACATGAGATACCTAGATCTGTATTTAGAGTTAGATAGGAGTATATTATTTGAATCATACAGCACATGCATTATATTCTTGACCGTAATTGCTAAAAAAAACTCACATCTAATGGAAAGTAGAACATTCTTGTTTTAAAAATATCTTTATTTTTATATGTAAATCTTAAAATGACATTACATGCAAGTTAAATGAATAAAAGTTACTCGCATCAATACATTTTATATGATTCAGGAAAATATATTCTTATCATTCAGAAATAGTTTTCATAAATGAAAAACACAAAATACTGAATTGAAAATGTTTTTAAATGTCGGAAGAAAGCATCATTATTATCAAAGTAATTATATTGCATTTCTTATGAGACTTTTATAATATTCGATGAAGTGATAACATTGTTGAAATTCACAAGACTTAAGAATTCTTCAAACAAATTGTATATCTTAATTATTAAAAATTTTTTCTCAAAATTATATATTATATATACTTATATGAAACAATGATCATTAATTTGAGTATACTAGTTTTAAGTGAATGCTTATTTTTTTCCTATGTATCTCACTTGAAATAGGTTTCAAATAACGATTATTAATACGCGTTTAAGAAATATCTGAGAGATGTCTGAAAGATTGGCATATCTTTTCGATGCCTGGGATATTGGGATGTTCTTCGGGTGTCTTTGCTGTTTGTTGCAGGCCACATTATGTCTGGCCAATTCTTTAAATCGCGGTCCAAAACGAGCTCTAATTCGAAATACGCACGCATTCATGCCGACGAAGTCACTCGATCCTTTTTGTACATGTTTCGTCCCCGTCGCATGCGTGCGTGCGTGCGTGCGTGCGTGCGTGCGTGCGCGAAACGATGCACAAAGCGAGACTCGCTGAATCGCGCCGTTCAATTTATCCTGCGCGCAATTATCATTACGTTGTCCCGCAGACAGTAGCGCGAACAAGCTCAATTGTCGAGCTAAACTCTTCCCTCGATTATTTAACGGAACCGGAACCAGCAAATCTTATCTCCCGTACGATCTTCTGCAACGTTCAATCGTCAGCATATCGAATAAAACTTTATTCGGCACTTTAATCAGTTTTTCTATGAGTAGTCGTTTTTGTTCAAATTGCGTTATTACCATCGCATTATTAATCGCGTTGTTACACCGTGATTTTATATACATATATATATATATATATATATATATATATATATATATATATATATATATATATAACTCTGCTTAATAATCGTAATTACGACGGAAGTAGCATCAATCAACGTCCTTTATTTCGACAAAACAGCGAAGATAATCTCGGTCCGTTTTCTAAAGGTTTTGGCTCTCGGCAGACAAACGAAGTAAGAAGGTACAGCCTTGAGATTTATGAATATCTAAACACTCACTGTCCTTTCCCGACCAGTTAGCTCCACACCTATCCACTGCCTCTTATACACACACACACATGCGCGCGCGCACACTTGATCTTTAACTGTATTATCCGCCGTTGGGCCCGGCAACGGTGCATTCAAGAAGAATTAACTATTTTTAAATATTACGTGTCACAAATTAACGAACGGGTCGAATAGCCGCGACGTGTTGCGCGAACAGAAGCGGAGGGTGACCCACTTGATGAGAGATCCCCGACCGTCTCGCGATTATAATATTAGGAAAAGGAATTCGCCCTCTAACTTCCGTGAAGTTTCATCTCGTTTTTCGCGAACTCGTTACAAACTCATTCGGCCCCCGCGGGCGACCACGACAATTCCATATACTTCTCTAAATAAAACTGAAGTAGAGCGCGCGAAGACGAAATAAATATATAAGATGAATAAATAAATAAATAAATAAATAAATAAATATATGTGAATATATTGAAAAGAAATATATACATACACACGAAAGAAGCTAGAGTGGCCAATTATAACAGTAACTGTCAATCCACGCATTACGACGTGATTAGTTCTCAAGACGCGCGATTTTGGGTGCGAACGCGACTCCATGTCGATGAGAAAGAATCAGAATTCCGTAAACGCGACGGATTTTGAGGATTTGTAAACACGAGCGTGTGTATGTGTGTGAGAGAGAGAGAGAGAGAGAGAGAGAGAGAGAGGAAGAGAGAGAGAACGTATGAATATAAAAGAGATATAGGAAAAAGCGAGCTGGAGAGAAACAAAAGAGTCAGCCACGCTAAAGCTACTACGACCACTACTCTAGATAGATTACGCTACTTTGCCGCTGATCTAATTGTTTACTGTCACGTGTTGCTGTAAACCTAAATCTAACCTAACTATACGATATTATATATATTTTATTTATATAACCTAATCGAGACCGTGTTTATTGTAAATAGTCACGATGTTTGCTATGGTATAATATATCTGTAATTGGATGGAACCTGCCTGAAACTGCGCCCAACCCTGTTCCCCTTGCAATTATATATTTGTACACACACATATATATACACGCACGCACACATACGCGCACATACACATCCACGATACCGGTACAAAAGCAGATACTCACGTGGTCGCGCATACATTCATACATACACACGTATACACGCAACATAACGCGCATACCGTATAATACGCGGTGTCGATGCCGGGCAATCGTTTAGCGATAACTTACAGAAGATGATAAACAGAGAGAAAAAATAGATGTACTCGCGCGCGCGTTAAATTATCATTACGTCAATATTTCGTATCGTATTGACAGGGCGGTCGATTTTGTGTGAAACACTCGCGAAGCGTCGCGCTCTATTTTACTATAGAGAGGAAAAAACGCGAAGAGGGAAGGAAGGACTTATCTCCGTCACTCGATCAAGCCCAGTTCGGACGCTTCTGAGAACGAAAGTGTTACAGTGGTCACGAGTAATTTTTATAAATATATTTTTTTGCTCCTGCGCGTGGTGTGTGTGTGTGTGTGTGTGTGTGTGTGTGTGTGTGTGCGTGTGCTTGTGCATGATGTGTATACGCGCGCGCGCACGTGTGCACGCGTGTGTGTGTGTGTGTGTGTGTGGCACGTGTATGATGTGTGTCGCACGCGCGTGGCTGAGACACACCTAAATACGATTATCATCATTGAAATGCTAGAAAGAATGAGAGTAGCAAGAAGTAAGCAAGGGTAAACGAATGAATGAATGAATGAGTGAATGGAAGAAAGAAGGAGAAGGGGAGAGAGGACGAGAAGAGTGAGTAATTTATGGATTTTCCACTTGAACCACTGCCACGCAGCAGACAGCGTCACGACCCAACCAGCATGTCCAATAAACTTACAATATTGCTATCTTAAGTACAATATATTAAGTGTTTTCAGAAAATATATGATCTATATATGGTAATAAAAAACGGGAAAATGTTTTTACCCGTCTTATTATTCATGTTTTCTAACTCATGTGCATTCGCGATGTTTTTTTCATCCTCCGCCATATGATGCGTCTTAAATCGTGCTCGCAAAACAATAGCCATAGTATACTGAAATACGACTGTTGTTTCATAGTAGAGTTCCCAATTATTCGAATATCCAAGCTCGATTGCGATCCAAAAACTTGAAACTACATTGTTCGGGTAATCCAAATAATCCAAGTTCAAATCATAAGAAAAGATTTTAATCCGGAAACGAATCTATACCCAAATTCGAATTAAATAAAAATGCGGATTAATTTAATAATAAAATTATCTGAAATAATTATTCAAATACATAAATAAACCCGCAAAATCGTCTAAAGTCAAATAGTTAAATTGCAATTAAAGGTATATAGATTATTTCTCCTTAAAGGATGGATACGTCAGGGTGTTTGAAAGATAAATAGGCGTTTACTGCTTTTCTGATAAATTCTTCAAACCGCTTGTGCATCAAAGAGTTTTTATAAAAAAGAGCGTTGTACGCATAAGTGTAGTTTACGAATATTATTTTAAAGAATATATTATATGTTAATATGTGAGCTTTCTATATAATTTGCAATGGAAATTTGAAATATTATTTTCGTTACGCACTGAGCAATGTTTCACTACATTTTTGCACGTAATTTTATCTTATAAATTGGAGCAGTAAGTGCGCTGTAATTTTTGCAAAAGGAAATCAGTGTCATGATAGCAATAGTTCCACATCGTTTTCATCCTTGAGTGAAGAATGCTCTATTTCATTTTTGCATATACTTTCACCATACAAAAGCATTTTTATTTTGATCAAGTCAATACAAAGTAAAATTTGTAGGAAAATGTCGTTTACGTGATATCGATTCTCTTTGCAAAACTTTCGTCGTGCTGAACGGACCAAATCGAAAACCTTCTCAGGTAAAACACAAAGTTACATAAAAGTCAAAATGACGTCAAATGATATAAAAGTGATGTCATTTTGACGTCAAACAATACCATTTTCGTGACAATTTCATGACAATGATGTCAAAATAATATCATCAAAATGATTTTGTGTTCTACCTGGGCTTTTGCATAATGAAATTGCGTGCGAAAATAAAGCGGAGTATTCCTCAATATGAGACAAAACGATAAGGAATAGTTACTATCATAGCACCGAATCTTTCTACTAAGATTACTTCTTTCTACCTGCGCCGAATTAAAAACTCTTTTGCATGGTAAAAGTACGTGTGAAAATAAAGTAGAGCATTGTTTAATATAAAGCGAAAACGATAAAGTTACTATCCTCATATAGCACGATATCTTTCAAAAAACTTTCCGAAAGATAACTCGGAAATTATATTAAAATATAACATTAAAATAATTCAGAAATATTTATGAAACATTTTATCAAAATCTTTTTCACTAAAATATTTCAGAAATCGCTTATAATAAACGTTGATTTATATATTTATACATAAATTTAATTAATTTAATTAAATCTTATAAATATGGTTAGGTGAATTTTTTCTTTTTTTTAATTGTACTATTTTTAATTGCGTTATTTTCTTAAATATTTCTTGAAATAAGATTCGACTATGAATACTGGCCATAGATATACAATAAGAATAGAATGACATGGTAGCGCTGAATAGCGCTAATAGTGAGCTCCTCGAATGCACTTTCACCTGTGTCCAATCGTTCTGTGGTCAATCGGGTCCCACTCGTTCTAGACCTAAGAGCCGTGGCACACAGAAAACCTTAAGCAATAAACAAACAAGGCCATCACACACAAAATTCCGTAAGAACTTAAAACGTAAGCGTAAAGAAATCGATCAATCCCAATCAAACACTCGGCTCTTCGTAATCCCTCCATTATTACGAAGAGCCGAATATTCGATTGGGATTGGTCGATTTCCTTACGCTTACGATTTAAGTTCTTACGGAATTTTGTGTGTGATGGCCTTAACCAATCACAGTCGTTGATTCTTCTTACGGTCCAAGAATCAACGACTGTGATTCGCTTACTGCTTACGTCTTACTGCTTAAGTTTTTCTATGTGCCACCAGCTTAAGGCGCGTTCGAAAACTCTATCCGAGTGGCTTCTCCTCTCTCTTTACCTCACACCTATATCTTTTTCACTCCAACGCAACGAGTGGGCGGGAGGTGAGAGGTGGACGGGAGGTGAGAGGTGGACGGGAGGTGAGAGATGGAGGAGAAGTGAGAGGTAAACGGGAGGTGAAAAGAAATTGTCGTGACGGCACGTTCGAGTTCCTTCTCAATGCGCAATAAAAAATAATTAAACGATAGCCGAATAAAGAAATAATAATATCCGATTAATTAATAGATAATGATAATAATGTCTGATCGACAATCGTATAATAATATCCAGTAATATCAATTAATTACATACAGAATTGTTCGATCAAATCAATGTCGAGAGAGAGATGAGAGGAGATAAGAGAGAGAGAGAGAGAGAGAGAGAGGGGCATACTAGAAGGCGGCGGGACGCTGTGCGTTCGAGATCTGCGTATCTTTCGTTCCAGAGAGAGAAAAATATCGAGAGCGCAGTTCTGCTAGGCCGGGACTCGAACCTGGGTCTTTCGCTTGCCGGGCGATTGCTCTAAACCACTGAGCTACCTGACGCTCCACGATCACGACACTTTCCTCTCCCTAGATAACGCTCAGAAATGCCGTTCGGAAGCGACATCTCTGGCGTGATCCCGAGCGCACCGCGACTACAGAGAGAAACAATGTTACTGTACCAAATGGTACAGTTGTCAGTTTCTCAAAATCAAAGGTTGCTATCCTTTAAGACCTGTTGTCCATGCCCGTCTCCACCGTTGCCTCTCCTCCTCAGAGAGAGGAGAGAGAGAGAGAGAGAGAGAGAGAGAGAGAGAAAGAGAGAGAGAGAGTGAAAGAGAGAGAGAGGGGTGAGAGGTGAGATGTGAGATGTGAGAAGCGGGCGAGAGGTGAGAGGTGGGCGGGAAGTGAAAGATGGGCGGGAGGTGAGAGGTGGTCGAGAGGTGAGACAGAGGTGAGAGATCTTTCTGATACTTTTTCTGATACTCTTTCTGATACTCTTTCTGATACTAATACTTCTTCTGACACTCTTTCTGACACTCTTCCTGATACTCTTTCTGATGCTGATACTCTTTCTGATACTTTTTCTGATACTTTTTCTGACACTGATATTACCTATAACCTAATATAACATGACCGACTGTAGGCCTATGCGGTGGATAAGACCACCGTGCATGCGCGAGAACACAAATATACTGCTACTACGATGGATCTAACGTTATGGGCGCGACTTTGAGATATTGGAAAATTACATATCAGCAAAAATTATGTATGCATACTACACTGAAATAACATTTAGGCTACATAGATTTTACATACATAGATTTTAAATGTTGAAGACTTGACGAAAAAAGGATATCCTGTTAATGCACACAGAGAGAACGATTTATTAAATCAAATAAATGTTTCTTTGGAATAGTCCAAACAAATTATTTGATTGACATAACAAAAATATTTCTTTGAAACTACGCGGCAAATAATAATTGATATTACCGGATATTATTATACGGTTGTCGACCAGACATTATTATCATTATCTATTAATTAATCGGATATTATTAGGTATACAACTTTATTTCCGCCGTTTTTTTTCCGAAATTCGAGGCTTTATTGTAAAAAACTGGTTATACATTTATGATTCAAAGTATTGTCCATCGCTGGCCACTACTTTCTCCCATCTTTCGGGCAGCGTACGAATCCCGCGTCGAAAAAACTGGTCATCTTTTGAAGCGATCCACGAATCAATCCAATTTTTTACTTCTTCATAAGACCGGAAGTGCTGGTCAACTAGGCCGGGTGCCATTGATCGAAACAAGTGATAGTCAGAGGGAGCAACGTCTGGAGAATACGGCGGGTGGGGTAGGACTTCCCATTTCAACGTTTCCAAGTATGTCTTGACCATTTTCGCAACATGGGGTCGAGCATTGTCATGCTGCAAAATCACTTTATCGTGTCTCTCGTTGTATTGCGGCCGTTTATCTTTCAATGCTCGGCTCAAACGCATCAATTGCGTTCGATACCGATCACCTGTGATTGTTTCAGTCGGTTTTAACAGCTCATAATACACTACGCCGAGCTGGTCCCACCAAATACAGATCATTAACTTGGAGCCGTGAATATTCGGTTTGGCCGTCGACATGGAAGCATGGCCGGGAACTCCCCATGATTTTTTGCGCTTGGGGTAATGAACCCATTTTTCGCCCCAGTCACAATGCGATACAGAAATCCCTTCCGTCTTTGCCTTTCAAGCTGTTCAAAAGCAAACAAACGCCGTTCAACATCTCTCGGCTTCAATTCGTACGGCACC